CTTAAACATCAGTCAAAGCAAGACTAAGATACTTGTCCAAAACACAAACACTGCACCTCAAGTAAGCATTAATGGCCAACCACTTGAAATTGTTGATCACTTTTGTTACCTTGGCTCCATCATATCCAACAACACTCTACTGGATAAAGACATAAACAACAGGATAGCCAAGGCAATGGCCACCATGTCACGGCTGCAGAAAAGAGTCTGGGACAACATATTGCTGACTAGCAGTACTAAAGCCCTAGTCTACCGGACCTGTGTGTTAAGCAACTTGCTGTACGGAAGTGAAACATGGTCAACCTACTCATGGCAGGAAAAAAAGCTGAATGTTTTCCACCTTCGATGCCTAAGGCGGATCTTTAAAATAAGGTGGCAAGATAAGATAACCAATGAGGAAGTGCTACAAAGAGCAGGGTGCCAGGACATCCGCTCTGTTATCAGCAGCAGACGCCTTGACTGGCTTGGCCACGTTCGTAGAATGCCAGTAGGTCGACTTCCACAGGACATCCTGCATGGCGATCTAATAGAAGGCAGGAGAGCCGCTGATCGCCCACTTTTACGTTATACGGATGTATGCAAACGCGACATGAAGCTCTTCAAAATCGACACTGGCAACTTGGAAGAGGTGGCACTGGACAGATCCTCATGGAGAGAAAGCATAAAGGAAGGGTCAAAGATTGCAGATGTCATACACAACAGAAGCAGAAAGAAGGGTGAAAATGCAACGGCTCCTGGTAATTATATATGCCCAACCTGCGATCGCAGCTGTGTATCAAGGATTGGCCTCTTTAGTCACACAAGAAGTTGCAAAGGGAAAAGATTGTCTCTCGAGACGTAAAATGCCACAGGAACAAAGAAAAATAATTTTTGTCTAACTTCTGTATCTCTTAGGCTAAAAAAAATGTTCACAATGAATATTAGTATTAATTTTTTTTACTAATGCACTAGCTGCTAAAATTAATAGAACACATTTATGTTTATTATGTTTGTTACGCAATTTTTTTAATCGACTTCTTTTGCTGCAACTTTCGTACAGTATAAGCATGGCGCCGCGACCACATTATACAAAGCTAGTACCCTTTAAAAGTTTTAAATAGATTTTATTTAGGTCCCCCTAAAGGTTGGGGCCGCTTACTTTTGTGCGTTTTGTCTGTCTATCTGTTTGTCCGTCACGTTAAGATCCCTATAAAAAAAAAAGGAATAAAAAGCTATTAAAATTCTTATTACACCTTTAATTTTCCTTCCAAAACATCGCAATAGTTTATAGTTTAGTACCTATAATAGGTTGTTCAGGATGTTTTTGTAAAAAAACAAATTAATGCAAAAGAATGTTTGGTATTGCTATTCTAACATTAAATTTCATTTTCTTGCTTTAACGTCGCAAAAACTCATGATAAAAAATAAGTTGTTCCAGATTTTTAGGCTACACTTAATATTCTTGGACAATAACTCAATATCGCTTAATTATCGATATTAAATTGTTCCGGATTTTCAATTTAAAATAAATTTATGTCAAATGACTTATTTTACAAAAAATTTCGACAATATGTTGTTCAGGATTTAAAAAAGAAGATAGTAATTTACTACAAACGATTGTTGAAAATCACTCGTATGACATGTTTTACAATCAATTTTCTTGCTGAAACACCACAAAAGACTTTTCCCGGATTTTGTTTTGAAAAGAAATTGACCTATAGGCCTATTACTTTGTCTCGACTAACGTCGTTAAAATTTAATTAACAAAGTAATACTGTTCCGAATTTTGAAAATTCTTATTACGCCGAATGTTTGAAATCGCTTTTCTAATGTAGACTTACATAACAATTAATTTTTCTAACTAAAACGTCGCAAAAACTCATTATCGAAAATCGATTGTTCCTGATATTTTATGAAAAACATTTTTTTAACTCTATATAATTGTCAGGGTTCGTAGAGCTCCTAAAAAATGAAAAGTCTCCTAAAATTCTCCTAAAAATTACCGAAAGTCTCCTAAATTTTGTCCACTCTCCTAAAATTTGTACCCAATATTTTTTTTAAATAGAATTTTGCTTATTTCTTGCTAAAAATGTGAGGGGAAAAACTAGGCATTCTGATCGCATGACCTTACGCTGTGTTAATGAGCTGACCAGTGACACGATTTCACCGTCTATGTCGAAGGCGCCGCTTTCACCCACTTGTGAAACGCGACCTCGTGATTGAAGATGGCCTTGGCTCAAGCAAGCATTTCACCAGCAGTATTTTTCTGAAGTCAGCGAAGAAATGTTTGTTTCCTAAAGACGCGCTAGATCTAGTCTGTAGTGACTATTGTCTATAATTAAAGCAATTACCAGACTAATTTGTAGGCTACACCCCTCCGGGCCCTCCCTCACCTAAAATCTTCTTGTTGTAAGTGTAACACACATATGTGACTCTGGATTCGACACCACCGCCTAGCGATAACGCACCAATCGAAACTAGCCTCTAGACCATCGGAATGTCCAATAAACATTCTCCTGATCCAGAGTCATTTCGCCCGTATGCAAATTACCACCCCAGTGGTCAAAGGTCACAAGCCCCAGCTAACCCCTCCCCCACCCTCGCAGCTACGGTGGTGTCGAATCCAGAGTCACAGGTTCGAGCCTCGGTCGACGCATGCCCTTATTTTTGTTGCATTTTAATTCACTACTTTCTCTCTTTAAAACTTAGTCCCTGGTGCTGTTATTTATGTATGTATCATTTGTTTCAGCACCTAGCTTCAACTTGTTGTAAGTGTAAGAGTGACATCGCGTGGAAACTCGGTAAATCTTCTAGATCTAGCTAGTATCTAGTAACTGTAATAGTATCTAGATTTAGATCTAAATTAGATCTAGTGAAGATAATTCGCACCTAACCTGAAAACTCAGTGAATTTTAGTCAATTTAATGATGTCTAATGTCTAGATTACTCTAGAAATACGCTAGATTCTAGATTTACGCTTAATCTAGTGAAGATAATCAGCACAAAGAAGTGAAAAGCACGCAAATTTAGTGACTTAGATCTAGACTCTATAATAGATCTACGGTATATTCAGTGAAGATAATTCGCATACTGCTGCGAAAAGTCCGCAAATTTTAGTGACTTAGATCTACGGTATATTCAGTGAAGATAATTCGCACACAGCCGCGAATTTTGTGACTTACCATCTAGACTCTAGATTTACTCTAAATCACTAGAATCTAGTGAAGATAATTCTCACACAGCCGTGAAAAGTCCGCAAAATTTAGTCACTTAGAGTTAAAGTCCGCGAATTTTACCGAATTAGATTTAGAGTCTAGATCTTCTGTAAATTTAGTGAAGATAATATTCACACAGCAGTGAAAAGTCCTCGAATTTTCGTGACTTTGATGTAGACTAGATTTACACTAAATCACTAGAATATATATAGTGATGATATTTCTCTCACAGCCCTGAAAAGTCCGCGAATTTTAGTGACTTAGATCAAGAGTCTAGATCTACTGTAGATTTAACGAAAATATTTCACATACAGCTGTGAAAAGTCCGTAAAAATTATTTCACTCGTAAAAGCCAGGGAAACTATATGGTTGAAAATGATTCTGCTAGGAAAAAAAAACGCGAATAGGTCTAAAACCCCCCCCCCCCCCCCCCCCCCCCATCCAAAAGCCTTTTTTTTTTGTAAGCAAATGTCAACTAAACATTCAAGTAGGCCAATATTGCCCTATATATTACTGGCTCTGTTTATGAAAAGGATTTAAGTTAACTAATAGAAGAATAAAACATTACCTCAAATGCACACCATGACTCTAGTATCTATAAGATACACATAGGAACTAAAAATGTACATTTCCATCACAGAGAACATACATCATGAATAAGGCATCTCTAAGAATGCTTCTTATTTAAAATAAAATGGAAAAGTAAGCATTTGTAATGTTTTTAAATAAATCTTTGGAAAACAAAAATGGTTGTTTGAGGTTTTGGGATGACAGTCAAGTTGTTACTAGATTAAAAGATAACTTTCATTACATTTTCTGTGGACATACAACAGCTGATAACATTGTTTCTGTGGCATATTGGCAAGATATTTATTATTTTAAAAATCAAATAACAATAATTGATTTGATAAATGCTTAGATTTGTGTATGTTTTACTATGTATCACACAAACGGATAGGAAACACATCACACATTTCATCCTTAAAAAAACCTCCGAAAATTTTGTCATGGAAAAGTGCTACTAACCCTGAATTGTTTAAAATCGCACTTCTAGCTTATACATTTAATTGTTTTGGTAAAATGTCACAAAAGTCTCATTATCGTTAATATTATCTTAAAATTATTTAGGAAAACAACTTCTAAACACCATAGGATTGTCTTAAAATCTCCACACTAAGTTATGATCTATCGAATTTTCATGCTAGACCATCCCAAAAATTTATTTATTACATTAGATTATTCCAGGTTTGTAAGTATATATTTATATATATTGTATTATATAGATAAAGACCTCGTGCGCAATGGTACATAACCCTCGTAGATTCTCCCGTGTTGAAAAAAGACTTTCGTAGCAGAGCTATGTAGTGGAAAGATTTTTGTCTTTTGACGTCATTTGGAATGATTCTATTAAATAAAATGCTGCAAGAGCTCGTACACCAATATCTATAAACCCTCGACAACTCTCCTGTGTTGAAAAAGACTTTTTTTTTTGTCTAAGTAAGCCGTTTTAAATTTGACATCATATGTCAGGCATGTCAAACACTGTGTTGCTGGCCGCATTGGCCACTCAAGAATTAGCAAAATAATGTTAAATTATTAAGCCTTTAACAGTTACCACTAATTTTCAGGTAAAATATTTACTGAAAAATAAAAAACACCAAAAAACCTATAACATAACAATCGACTTCGTTGACTTTATTGTAGACTACACATTAAAGTGCAGACACAAAAATGCTCATCTATGTAGGCTTAAGTTTTTATTAAGGGGAAATAAATGTTTTGTTGAGCAAATAAAACTAGTCAACAATAATTATGTCTTTGTTTATTCAAGTAATACAACAAAATAAATAGAAATACTTCATGACAAAATATTGAAATATCACTGATTTATTTAAGGATTCAAATGAAGGTTACTCATCTCTCAATCAACCATCATAATTATCTCCACTATAGAGAATAGCTCTTCATCCTTAATCCCCAACGCAATTTTGTTCACATTCTAAAATATCTTGATATTAGTTTACAAATTATGAAAGACACATATGAAAAGGATATAAACAGTAAATACAAAAAAAAAATGTAATTAAAAAAATCTAATCTTCTAATACACAGCCAAATGTGAATGGACCTAGAGTAGATATCACTACACAGTCAATTGTGTTAACAGTAACATCCTAAACATCATGGACTAAACAGTTAAGTCTATAGTATATAATAATAGAAATGACTACTACCCAGTTAACAATTAGAATATATTGGAAAATAACAATTAACTTCGACAAAATGATACATTTATGTTAATAATATCATGGTTAAATAATGTTTTAAATGTTCAATGTCAGCTACAGTAGTGTATTTAATCAATTATTTTCCTTTCCATATGCACAATCAGTGCATTGTTGCAACTAAATTGCAACAAATTAAACAATGCATAAGCCTTTCAAACTTTACTTTGTTTTTTTTAAACTGCATTTTTAAAAGTCCTTTAACATGTAGTTCAATACAGGAAAAAAAAATACACCAAATCTTAGTTTAGAATGAACTATGTAATTTAATTGTGTCAGTTGTATATTTTATGACACTTTGCTTCCTAACAAAATTGGATCTGCAACCTGGTTTAAAATTGTTTTCTTATGTTAAAAAAAAAAAGGATATGATTTATTATTAGAACAAGTGAAACAGGAATAATCACAGATAGGGGAGTATTTAAGTTTTCTCATTTTGGAAACAGTTTTACAAAAAAGCTTAGATAACATTTCAGACTATGCACCTTCATCAACTGATCTACCAATATGTCATCTTGTTAGATTGTTGTTAGTGGATGGCAAATCAAATCAAGCCAAACAGAAAGTGTTCAATGGAGATATGAAGGTTATTTTTTTTTCTTAAATATATTCAAGTCAAAGTGTTAGCTCAAAATCATCAATTATGGTCATAGAATGAAAAACTTTGTATTTCCAGTAAAAATGCTCTTTATCTCTTGATGGTTAATGTAATTCAATGCTTGACTCAATTTCCAGCACAAATTTGTTTAGAGTATCTATTTTTAAGAATTAAAACTAGATTTTTAAGATGAGCCCCCCCCCCCCCTTCCCCTCCAAAAAAAATAATGAATACAAATATTATGAGGGTCAAAACGTAAATCATACAAACTTGTTTGAATTTTATTTGACTATGAACTGACTTTGAAGAAGAAATTAAATTAAAATAGCAAGTAAACAAAAATTATAATGACATGAACAAAATTTGAAATAATTATATGTACATTAAAAATAAACTATAATTTTGTTTTTGTACAAAATCAGTGATTTACAAATAAATAAGTCCAATTACATATTTGTATATATTTAGTATCAAATATGAAGATGGAGAAAAAAAATCCATTTTTACAGTCAAACCTTCTCAAATGAAATGACTGGAGATGGCCTCATTAAATCCAGAATGTAGGCTACATGTTCAATGAATTTCTTCAGTACAGCCAACATTTCTGAGTGATTTGACTTAACAAGCATTGGGATAAAACTATTTTTAAGCTAAGGTCGCCTAACTGTATTTTAATAAGCATGAAACAAGCAGTAGATTAGAAGAACATGATATGACAAGGGACATATTACTTTTAAAGTTACAGTTGGATGAACTACAGACAGTTAAATTAGCTTTAGCCAACTTCATTCTTATCACATTAGTGCAACTATCACATTTAATTTTTATGTCTGTTAAATATGTTTCTCTTTTTTTAATTGTATTCTCTATTTAATTTGACATTTGACATGCAAAACAATAACAAACAAAGACAAAAATGTTAGCAGTTCAAAAAAAATACTTTTATATATTTTATTTCTTGTCAGACATTCAAAAACATGCAATTGAACACTTACTTAAAATATATATTTTATTAAATGCTCCACATAATTTTTTAATTTACGCTAAGTGGTTTCATTTTGTCATTAAAATGTTTTTCTTACAACACACATTATTTCATTTTCTGCAATCTATTGATGAGTAAGAGTGCTTCTTTTAATAGTTCAAAGTTTAAAAATATTTATTTAAAATCTTTTCACACAAAACATTTCAATGACTGGACTCACAACCAATAAGTTACAATAGGCCTAAGTTATGAAAGTTAAAGATTTTTCTTATAGGCATAACATACTTACCATACACCAGAAAAGATAAATAAATAACAAAAAAAAAAAGATAAATAAAAGGAAGAAAGGTGAGAAAAAATTATACATTAACATTATGTGTTAGGAAACATTTTAAAAAAATCAATAGCACAATACGTAGAAAGCAGGTCTACTGGTTAATTTGTATTAAGCTGTAGCACTGACCTAAATATATTACAATTATGATTAGACATTCTAGACATAGTGCTAGAAACTCTAATTATGCCAAGCAGCACACTCTTTATTGCCTCACAAGTTTTTTAAAATCATTTTTCATAATACTTACGTACATGGTAACATTCTACAAAATCCATGTCTAATCAGACAATGTCACAAATCCAAGTTAATTTACATGACTAAAGAATAAGCTCCAATTAATATAATCCAGATAATTAAAAGAACTATTTTTGTTTAAAAGAGAAGCAGATTTCAATGCTGAATAGATTAGTATGAAGAGGAAAGTTCCAAAACAAAAATGTTGAAAATCATTATAACAAATGTTAAAATGAACTCAACATCCAGTTAACTTCAATTAACACACATATGTCTATGAACATATTGACAATGAAATATTGCACAGGTTTAGAACACAAATAATAAAAATCAACTACAATTTAGATTTAAAAATAAGAAATTTCATTTTAATTTTGGAAAGAAACTATGTTATAAATTTTTATTTGGTCTGAAAATCTTTATGCTTTCATATAATCATATTTATTTAATCTACCATAGTCTTTTTTTTTTTTATAAACTTTAAGCCAAAATGATTGCATAGGTGATATCATTAGCTCTAAAAGTATGATTGTAGGCACAATGCTAATTAAGTGCTCAACACTGCTTACATTGATTTATTTTTAAAAATTGTATTTTACACATAATTTGTTTTTTCACTTAGGCCCAGTGATGCACTACTAGTTCACGTTCAGGTAACTGTCTGAACTTCATGGACCCATCAACACCACACGAGAACAGATGATTCAGTGGGCCCACATGAACCTGGGCTACACCTGAGGTTGAGCCGACATTCTTGAAAAATGTGTTCTTGCTGTGTTCCATGGGAAATGAGAAGATCAGCTGATGAATCTTTAGACCCCAAACCTATTTGTGATAGTAAAGTTAAATGATTTTAGCAACATGAAAAAAAAAGTTTGTGGCCTCTATTTGTCTCAAGGATCAGACAATAGCCCCCCCCCCCCCTCCCTTTTCCCAATTTCATAAGATGATAGAGAACTGACTAAACAACTGACATTGGAAAATACTGGATTTGCCATTAGCTTATAAGCACTATGCTGAGTTTTTAATTGTTCCAACAACTTATTTACATTAAAAAAAGAAACATATACCTTAATGTCTCCATCTGCTGAACCAGTTATAAAATAATCTTCATCAGGGTCAATAGCTAGACACTTGATTGGAGCTTCATGAGCTTGGAATGTATGCTTAAGTACACGCTGACGTAAATCAAATATACCTGATTTAAGAGTTAAGGAAGAACAGAACCAACAAAAAAAAAATAAATAAATACAAAAAACAAAATGCAGTATTGTTAAAAAAAAACAACAAAACAACACTTTAAGTTAATTCAAAAGACCCCACATCTTTCAATAGTTTAAAGGATACAGATTTCTCCCTTTCTTCCTCCACTAATGAGCAAGTGTTGACGTGAAGCATAGACAACAGCAGGACTTCCTTGTTCATGACACTGAAATGCTGTCAATAACCAAAGAAGCAAAGTTGAAATACTAGATCAGCTAACTGTGAGTGTAAACCAAATTTAAAAAATAGAAAGTACCAAGTACTCACCATGCACTAAAGAACTCCTCTGAGGTAGCAATGTGTCCCATATACACACATTTTTATGTTCTGATGACTGGCCTGCAGTTGCTATCAAACTTGATGAGCCAACAAACTGGAAGTCACTTGTAGTTTTGTTGTGACACTGCAGTCCCTGAAAGCCAGAAACAAGTGGAAATAAAAAAAATTAAATATAAGGTAACAGGTGCTCAAAAATGAGAAAAATTAAAGCTTTTCACTATTCAAATCCAAACTACTTGAATATATGTACCTATGATGTATGTGTTTGTCAATATTTATATAGATAAAAAGTACTACTGACGTTTCATTATGCATGTCATTTAGATCTCAAGATATTCAAAGTAGGAAGGAAAGTAAAAAAAAAACTAGATACAGCTATTAAATTAAATATAGTAAATCTGGAGATAATACTCCAAATTGACTTTATTTCAATAAAACTGTCATGAATATCATCCTAAAACTCACCATAATTGGCTTACTATGGTTACTGCCTAGTCCAACTTGCCACAGAGCTATGCTTCCCTCAACATCACTTACACAGCACTAAGAAAAATATAAAAGGAACAGATAAAAAAACATTAAACAATAGCAAACTAATGACTGTGTTGTTCACTAAGCAACAGCAAACTAGTGACAGTAAAATGATAAAAAAAAAAGAAAAATGTAAAAAATACTTTAAAAAAAAACAACAACAAAGCTTATAGTTGTAATGTCTGTATGATTAGAAATATTTTTACCATTGTTTTTGTTTCATGCTTTTAGCTTTCTCAATATGCTATGATCCAATCACTTATCTAGACCAGTTGGGAAAAGGGAGGGGGGCGAAGAAAAGGGGTGAATTTTACCGTAATTGTTTTTTTAAACGCATTAAAAAAAAAAAAAAAAAAAAAGGGGGGGAACAACCTGAATTCAAACTCGTAACTCAAGCTGACATTCTAACCACTCTGCTAGTGAGGTGCGAATGAAAATAGAAGATTGTATGGTTATCTATCGTTTGATTCAAACTTACTTTACAGTGGCGACCTATTAAGAGGACTAGTTCAGCTTATACCACCACCACAGTCACATACAATTTCTTTCCCTTGTTTACAAATACCAAACAAAATAATTGATTACCAATAGGTAATTATCTAATTGGTTAATTTTTTAAAATAATTCTTCTGTTGTCAGGTAAAAGAAATAATTGTGCAAAATTTCAGCTTGATCTGAGATTGGGTGTGGGAGATATGTGTACAAACTTTTTACCAGTGAGTGAGTTGATATAGCCTTCGTAAAAAAAAAAAAAATCCACTAAACAATAGCACACTAGTGACTGTGGAATGGTATTTTAATAAAAAAGGTAATTTAAAAACTATCTCACCTTATTACCCTGTGCATTAAAAAGAACTTTAGTCACTTTAGGGAAAGATCCAGATTGTCTTAAAGTTGCTAGGGGCTGGTTATGTCCCCACTCCCATAACTTTACAGCACCATCAGCACCACCAGTAAGATCTAAGTAAAAAAAAAAGAGTACATTAGTCACAAAAAGTTCAGAATAAAAAAGAATAGAGATGACATAGGAACAAAAGTTTTCAAAAGCAATGAACATCATAATAAGTAGGCTTGTGAATAGTAGCAGATAAAACTGATTAGTTTAGATAGAGAAACAGTTTGTAACTCACAATGAGGCAATGTTGGGTGTGATCCAATACGTCTGACACCCATCACAGGTCTTCTTGTTATCTGCAGTACAGAAAGATTGCATCTTTATTAAAGTTTTGTTTCTAGTATAATAAAAATTACATTTCTCTTTCCCCTAATTAATGTAGTTAATTTGATGAATAGTTCATACCAAAATTAATATAATCTATTTGGAAAATATTGCCCACCAAAACTAATGCATACTGATAAATACTGTAATTACAACCATAAAAAAAAATATTAAAAAGTAATAAACCTGAGTCTATTGAAATTCAAAATCTAGTTTCTTAAAGACATGATCCCATCTAATGAATATCTGGATATGCATGAAGGCAGCCTAGGTTGGGGAGGGGAAAATGTTATGATCATGCTTCCATAACAATTTATTAAACTTAAGTTAAATGTTGGATACATTGGTAATATTTTCTAAATGA